TCAAGTTTCAGAATTTTTCAAAGTTTGAAAATATTTTCCAACAGAGTTAATATTCTAAGCTCTTCAAAAAAATCCTTAATAAACTTTCTATTTTCAAATGTTCAAACTAAATCCTAACTTCTAGACTTCAACAACTTTAAAAAAATTGACTTTAGCAACTTAAAATTTTAGCCTTAAAAATTTTTTCTTAACAATTCTTACAAACAAAAATATTTTTTTGTGGGAATAGCAAAACTATTTTATTCAAACTACTTTGAAATTTTCTAACTTGAATAATAAACTAAATTGAAAAAGTTTATTTCTGGTTTGATACTATTAGTATTTAAGACCTTTTCAAACTACTTTGAAAACATTTATAAGCATGAAAGAAAATTTTTACTTTTGATTTAATTCTAGTAATGGACAAACACAGATTTCCATTTAACATTTTTTATTAAAAAAATACATATACTATGACAATGAAAAATACACATGACACTAAATGTCTATTTTCATGTCTTCGTTGTACCGGTTGCGGGAACTTGTTACTTTTACTTTGCTACATTTTTGCTTCCGTCTATGTACCGCCATCGGCGGACTTGGCGAACACACTCGATGCCCTGCAAGGCCACATCACGACACATGCCGATAAAGACTTTATCATAAACGGGGACTTAAACGCCAAAAATATCCTTTGGGGAAATACAAACGACCAAAGAGGAGACGAGGTTCTCGAATTTGTTGTCCTGCACGACTTAAATATTGCAAATGACCCCAATTTCCTACCCACTTTTGACTCCACCACCGGCAAGAGCTGGATTGACCTTACTATGTACACCAACCGTGACATGGAGATCCAGAACTGGACAGTCATGGATACCGAAACACTTAGCGATCACCGAATGCTCATTATGGAGTTGCTTCTTGAACAACAACGCCCTCCTAAACTGAACAAAATTACCTACAGTGACATCAATCTATTTGATTTTTCAATAAAGAGAAACAAGAACCGTTGATTTGGACTTTGCAATATTATTGCTAACGGAACAGCAATTTATTAAAAAAAGACAATAAACATAAATTGATTGATAAAATTGTATAAACATAAATTGATTAATAAAATTGTATAAACTGATTAATTAAATTGTTTAACCACAACAGCTTTTTCAATCAATTCAAACTTGCATTCTACATCCCCAATTTCGTATCGAAATATTGTTTTATATTGCCATTTTCGTGGATTGCGTCTCTGTACCAAGAGATGTAATTTTTTCAGATTAGGTGATTTATCATCGTGGAGCCATTTAACAATTTGAAATTTTTCTGGTGTAATCAGTTCTATTTTAAAATTGCTTGTGTTTAAAGTCTCAATATGATCTTCTTTTAAATTGTAGACAATATTTTGTTCGAGAAATTCATCAATTTTGTTCAACTCTCCATGCGTTAAAATATTCCGATTTATATCTAAAATGTAAGGTCTAAATCTTACATATAATTCCATCTTTCTTCAAACACCAGATTTTTCTAACTGATTTGACATTCAAAACTCAATATTGTTCCAAGTATTTTTTAAAAATATTTCAAAATTCCTAATTTTTTTAACTTTTTAATCTCAATAATGTAAAATTGTACAAGTCCAAAAATTTCAAAGTACAAGATTTAAAGTTGTAAGTTTAAAACCACTCGACACAAAGTTTTAAATCTAAAAAAAAAAAAAAAAATGAAGATATAGATTTTGAAATTTTGAAAATTTCAGACTGTGGTTCTAAGAAATATTGATAAGTTTTCGGACTTATCAATTTTACAAGATTGAGCCGAAAGTCTTAAGTCCAAAAATTTTCTGAATCTGGTACAAACCTCTAAATATTTTTATGTACCAGAAAATCATAAATTTTCAAAGTTTCAAATACCTTGTAAAAAATTGACTTGAGGTTTCAAACTTAATACCCCAAATTCCAAGTCCAAACTAATCTTTTGAAAATTTCAGAAACATAGAAATTTGAATTCTTAAAAACTTTAACTTTTTAGACTCAATTTGTAAAATCTTACAAGTCCAAACTCAATCTTGTTAAAAATTCCCAAATCCAAAAACTAGTCAATAACATGGAACTTAGATTTCTTAAAACCAAAGCAATATTTTGAAAATTTCAAAAACATCGAACTTTAAGTCCCAAATTCAGAAATAAGTTGTTTTTTTTTGAGATGTTGAAATTTTATTTTTTACTAAATCAAAGTTTTAGGCTTATGACCCAAAATCCAAGTCCAAAGAAATCCTTTTTTCAGACTCAAACTAATAAAATTCACAAGTCAAATCTAAAAACCTGTCAATATTTCCAAGTACTAGAGTCAGAAATTCTTTAAATTTGGACTTTTTAGACTTTGACTTGTAAAATTCTCATGTCCGAAAACCTGTCACTATTTCCAAGTATAAGATTCAGAAATTTTTAAAGTTCAAACATCTTGTAAAAAATTTAAATTTAGGCTTAGAATTTTTATTTTTTATACACTCGAGATTTCAGACTTAAAATATCCAAATTGAAGCAATCTTTGAAAATTTTAGAAACATAAAATTATACTTTGAGTCTTCGACTTGTAAAATTCAAAAGTCCGAAAACCTGTCAATATTTCAAAGTCCCAGATTCAGGAAATTTAGCTATCTTAAATATCTCAAAATCCATGTTTAAAACTCTATCATCTCAGATGAGTTGATATATTCTAAGCTCTTCAAATCTTTTAAAAATGTCTTAAGTATAGACTTTTTTGCAAAATTCAAATGTATAGTTAATAGTTAACTCTTGTATGACAACATTAAATCGTATTAAACGCTTATTTATTTTTTTTCTTTTGCTTCATTGTCAAAGTGAAATGAGTAGCCATTTCGTTCTTGATATGACTTGAAAAAATGTCCTAGGGTTCCGTTCCATTGGATCTTCACAGATTCATGCCTTCTCTAATGCAGCACATTGTTTTTGCAGGTCCAATTCTACCCATTGAATGGGGCACCTTTTAGTATTTTTTATGATACTGCAGGATCCTTCCACTAGTTCGTTAAACACCATCTTGATATGATTTACCCCTTCAAAATAAAATACACTTGCATCAAATCTGTATTAATGTGACCGTATGTTTCCGCAGTTTGGACTGATACCCAATCTACTACACGTTCTAGGGATGATATATTTTCCAAATTGGACGCATACCACTCCTTTCCATGCCATTCCCAAGTGTCTCGATCTTTATAGAGAGGTAACCAGTCACGACAATGCGCTACAAGATCGGAATGAGGCTTAAAACAACATGAAATGTAGTGTGTATCCAGTGTATAGTGTGTATCCAATGTTCTGTAAAACACATGACCATCACTGAAACGTATTCTACCCTACCGTTTACAATACGACAGACACAAAATCCGTCTCGCTCCAAGTCGTTTGGCAGGTGTAAAAATCCTTTGGTGGATGTTGAGAAAAAGGAACATGCTGTTTGGACCTTTCTTCTATGACATGGAAATACTTTCCAATTTCAACTCAAGGTTTAAAGTGATAAATATCCATCATGTGTTTGTAAGTCAAATGAAACATTAAAGGATGCAAATTCTTAAATTTGTCAATGTCTGGACATCTTTGGTCGAAATACCGTATGAGAGCAGCCACTTGCATATTAAAAGAGCCTTTTCCAAGGATACAACAATCCAGACACGTTGACAAAGCTCTAAATGCAATCCTCTTGTCGATTCGTTTCCAAATGGATTCCATATGGATTTTTCGTCATAATAATAAACAGGGTTTATTTTCCAAACGCTGATAACAATATGTTTTCTCGATTCATTCGCTTGAGCAATGTCTCTTCCGAGATGTTAAACGGGTCATTGGGATGTCAAAAAAACATCAAAGGTTCGGAATATGTCACTTGCGAGGCCGAAGTAACGGAATCTAACAAAAAACATGTTTGAGGAAGAACTTTTAATTTACGGGTATAATCTACATACCATATCTACATAATACAATCTTCATAATAATAAACAGGGTTTGTTTTCCAAACGCTGAAAACAATATGTTTTCTCGATTCATTCGCTTGGGCAGTGTCTCTTCCGAGATGTTAAATGGGTCTTTGGGATGTCGAAAAAGCATCAAAGGTTCGGAATATGTCACTTGCGAGGCCGAAGTAACGGAATCTAACAAAAAACATGTTTGAGGAAGAACATTTAATTTACGGGTATAATCTACATACTATATCTACATAATACAATCTACATAATAATAAACAGGGTTTGTTTTCCAAACGCTGAAAACAATATGTTTTCTCGATTAATTCGCTTGAGCAGTGTCTCTTCCGAGATGTTAAACGGGTCATTGGGATGTCGAAAAAGCATCAAAGGTTCAGAATATGTCACTTGCGAGGCCGAAGTAACGGAATCGAACAAAAAACATGTTTGAGGAAGAACTTTTATTTTACGGGTATAATCTACATACTTTTTATTGAGAGTAATGACAGGATTCTTGAAACGAAGAGCAATAAAATGGAATTTGTCATAGGTGTTACCGTAAATATTAATATATTTAGCCAATAATTTTGGAGGCGGGCGAATAGTTTGGACTGGGGTAGTTGAAATGGCTGGCGAAGAATGCTTGGGTGATGTGAGGGAATTACTTTGGTTATGTTGAATGGTAAGTGAATTGCTTTGGTTATTATTTAAAGAAGGAATGGATTCAGAGTTGGCCCGAGTTGAATCGTTGTTGTCCATATAAACAATACCACGTTGCATGGTGCCTATTTTTGAATATGTTACAATTTGAGAATAGGGTATGGGATTAAAAGTATCGTTAAAAAAAAAAAAACAAATATTTTTTTTTTCAATTCTTATATAAGATAAAAGTTTTACAGTAAGACAATAAAATCTTTATTATTTGTACTAATCTGATAAAATTCTAATCAGAACATTTTAAAGTTCTGATTAGAGACTTTTTACTAAAAGTTTGTGTCAGTCAAAGTCCTTAGAAAAAAAAAAACAAGAGTGAGTGAAAATGCATATTTTTGTAAAAACCCTGACTGGAAAAACAATAACTCTTGAAGTAGAGTCGTCTGACACCATCAATATTGTGAAACAAAAAATTCAAGATGAAGAAGGAATTCCTCCAGATCAACAAAGGCTGATATTTGCGGGTAAGCAGTTGGATGACAATCGCACTCTATCAGATTATGACATTCAAAAAGAGTCAACGCTTCACATGGTGCTTCGTTTGAGAGGCCGATAGTAAAATGAAAACAATATACTTGGAATTAAATAAACTTTATTTAAATAACATGAAAATGTTGTGTAGTAAATAACATGTTTAAGTAATAAAGATTATGTTTAAAGAACTTGTTTTTTGTTGTTTGAAATATTATAAAGAAAAATGTTTTTTATCAATGCAAATGTTTGAGACTATCTGAAAAAACATTGAGAACGATTTAATAGAGTCATATGAATTGAGTACAAGTTTGGTGAACGATCACGTAAATGTTTTCCTCAACAGTTCGTGTTTTTTAGATTTTTTATTAAAAATTTATAAAATTCAAAGTTATACTGAGTTTAGAAATCAGAAAAGTTTTTTTTTAACGGAAACTTATTAAAAATCAAATATGATGAATTGGAAAAAGAATGTAAAACTTTAAAATCTTATCACGAAAATTTAAAATCTAAATTTTGAAACTTTAAAATCTAAACACGAATTTTTAAAATCTTACACGAAACTTTAAAATCTGATAACGAATTTTCAAAATCTTATAGTTGCAAAACTTTAACATCTGATCGCAAAATTTTGAAATCTTAACATAGAACTTTGAAATCTGATCACACATCTGATTGCGAAACTATTAAAATTAAATACGAAAATTTAAAATTTATGCATGACACTTTGAAAATTGAACACGAAACCTTAAAATCTAAACATAAAAATTTAAAATCTAAATTCGACACTTTAAAATCTGATTACGACACTTTACTTTAAAATTTGATAACGAAATTTTAAAATTTAAACACGAAAATTTAATTGCAAATCGAAAACTTAAACTATTTAAAAGCGAAACGAATCAAGAAAACTATTATCTCGAACAATTGGTCCAAACGGAAAAAACTTACACAAATGAAATTGAATGGATAAAGAATCAAAACCAAGATTTACGCGATAAGCTCGAACAATGTCAAGAAAAGATGACACTGTTTCAAAAAGAATTTCCGTCCGTACCACACTATAAACCATCAAAGACTGAATTTGACAATGAACAATTGCGTTACGAAATAACTCAAGTTCAAAATAAACTCGATGTGGAAGTCAAAAGTAATGAAAAGTTATTAAACCATATTAAATCTTTACGAGAGGAAAAGAAAAAAATTTAAACTCAACTGGAAGAAACACACAGAAAACATGAAAAAACAGTGTATACAACAAAACAATTTATTACTGGATGAAAAAAAGAAGCGATTCCAGAGCGAAAATGAAACCATTCGCGTGTTGGAGGAACAAGTCATTGACTGCAAAAGGATGATTTATAAACTCAACAATTAACTCTTACAGGAACACGACGCGCTTGTCCAACTTCAAAAGCGTTACGATCACGACATGGAGGAAGAACGAAAAAGGAACGCGAATTTACTCGAGGAAAAATTTCACGACAATGACGTCGAAATGGAAGAGGTGAAACCAAAAACCGACAATTATTTCCGAGAGTACCTCGAATTGTTGGCCACGCACAATACCTTAAAAAGACACTATCAACTGTTAAAGAAATAATGCGAAACGAATATAAAAGCAGTACAAATGGAATTTGATATTTACAAAAATAGTTCCGAAGCAAGAAAATCTATGCAAGAGTTAACACTTTACACAGACTACTTGAATCTCCATCGCGAACACACTATTTTGAGAATAAGATTTAACGAGTCTGCTCTGTTTGAGCAAAAGGAAGTAGGCCAAATCAAGAACGAATACGAAGAACTCAAAGAAGATTACCTTAAACTCAGTGACCAATACCAGAATTGCATTGAGCAATCGAAAAATCAAATTATTGAGAAAGAAAAAGATATTGATGCATTTAAGCAAGAATTTGCAGCATACAAAATTAAACAGGAAGAGGTTCAACGAGAAAAACTAAAATATCAAAGTGAAGCATGCAAATTGGCGGATGTTGTCAAAAGAGCTATAGAACAACAGTACAAAGGACAGAGAAAGAGAAAAATTTCTGAAGGGAGTGAAGAACTTGAATTTAAACGACCTCACGTGGAAAGCTTGGTAAAAGAAGAGAACAACACGGAAATCTTGGTAAAAGAAGAGGGCAACACGGAAATAAAAGAAAAAGAAGAGGACAACGTGAAAAGCTTGGTAAAAGAAGAGGGCGATATGGAAGAAGAATATTTTTATGGTAACATCAAAAATAGTAATACACAATACGAAAATACGCAGTTGATTTATTTGTGTAAATGCTTATACATAAAATATTTCGAATTGTATTATAAACATATGTCGCAAAAATATATGAATGACGAAGAGTATGCTGCAGAGATAAAAAAATGATATCATTCGATTAAAAGAATTTGTAGAAGATTTGAAAAACCGGCAAAATCTTGGGAAATTGACACAATTGTTAATCAGTTATATTACAATTGAAATAGATACCTTTTTAGGTGAAAATATTGAAAAAAGTGAACATTTGAATCTGTCCTTGGAATGTCTTTTAAACTGTATGAAAAACACCAGAGACTATTATAATTTACAGACAAAACAGTAATTATTATTGTACAAAAGACAAAACGGTAATTATTATTGTGCAAAATTTTATTACAAATATTATTATAAAAAGTTGTCTATAAACTGTTCAAAACTCATCACATCCAACTTGTGTTTGAAAATAATAGAACCTACTATTTTAGCATTGGGGTAAAATAAACAACAACGCATTGCAATTTTAAAAGTATTTTTTTAAACTGAAAAAATTTAAACTTTCTCTTTAAGAAAAACTGTAAATCTTGTTCCAAATGAAAATATTTTGTATGTGGAATGATCAAAATGAATTGAACATACTTCACAAAGCTGTCAAATGCATGAGCAATTCTCCATCTTTTAAAATGACGCATCGTTTTTCAAACAAATTAAGAATGGTTTCCATTAAAAGTGAAAAAACGTACAACTATTGCTTGAATAATTATCGAAAATGGTGTAAACTGAACTACGCTTGCGAAAAACACAGCTTGTATCACTATAAAAAATTTTTAATTAGTTATAACAAATCGGCCAGCTACATTAAAAACAGTATCAACACTATTTCGAAGCTGGTGAAAATACCTACTCTAAAGAAAAAATCGGATGAAAAAGTAAAAATGACTCTGCAGGAATTTTTTTTTCTTAAGATAGAATTTTAGATAGCTATTTTTTTTTTCTTCAGAAAATTTCTTAGAAAATTTCTGAATTCTAGTTCAGGTTTTCGGACTTTTGAAGATTTCTGAATCTGCGGCACAACAGGTAAGAAATTTATTTGAAAAAGTTAGCTATTTAGAAAATCAAACAAAATGATTAAAAGTCAGTGTTATTCAAGACATTTTTTTCCAGCTTACTTTCCGCTCTCTGTTATGTCTAAACTACAAAAAGAGCTGGAACGGTGTTTGCAAGAATTGAAGATCATCAGCGATGTGGTTTATTTTCTCAGCTTGTTAATTAACTGTAAAAAGTTTCTCAAATCAGAACGTGCCAATACCTCACTAAGGTAGAAATTTTTTTTCGTAATCTAAAAAGGACTTTGGATAATCTAACAGGCCGATTGGATAAGAATGCTACAGGAGATAAACTTTTGAATTCATTACAATTTTCTGATCTAAATATACAGCCTTTTATTGAAGCTTTATCAAGTTTATATCAGTTACACCAGTTTAAAAGTGGTGATTTGAGAACAGCTGAATGAAATTATAAAAAAAAAACAGAAAACATTGTAACTGGAATGCCTAAATACTGTACAGGGTGTTCCAAAATTATCTTTACATCACCTGGCTTGAAATTGATTACAGACCGGAAGTGCTTAGGGCCACCAATGGTGCGCATGTTGAAGTGTACTAAACAAAACTTTATTAGTTGCATTAATACATGCAAAAGACAGAATATAAATATCTTGTTTATTTTCGAAGCTATGAATTTTTGAAGTTGTAAAGAGAATTTTGGAACACCCTGTAAATATAACTCCCGTGCACCATTCCATATAGAGACGGATGTTTTAAATGTACTAAGAATTGGCTTGTGTATGACGAACAAATTCCGTGGAGCCAGTGCTGAAAGTACTTTAGATTTAATACTTCGAATAGGTAGTAACCATTTCAGATTTTTCTACAAGAGATAAAGAGGCAATAGGAATTCTTATGATGGATGCAGTGGAATCTATTAGACTTTATATAGAAGGTATTTTTCTAACTCATAAATGCAGATCATACGATTCTATACTCCAAAAAAAATCCGGATTGGAAATTATATTGAAAGACTATGCTAAATATACACCTTTGATGAGTATGTCTAAAATTTCAGAGTATCAAAAAATAATGGACTGTATTAAATTACTCGATAAAATTGATATAAAGTGGTGTGACAATTAAATTAAATTTAAAGTTATTTTAAAGTTAGAGACTACAACTATTGTATACAAAAATATTGTATATGGTTAATACAGCTTCATTAAAATGCATTAATGTTGCCAAAGTTCAATGTATAGTAATTTCATATCCAAAGTTCAATGTATACTAATTTCAAAAACATTAATAAATTGTTTCATGATATGCTTTTTTTTCATTTCTGTTATCAGTTATTTCATAGTGAAAATTCTTTTGAAATTTTTAAAAGATTGCTTTGGAATTGGAATTTGAGTTTTCAAGTCTAAAACCTTTAGTCAGTAAAAAATACAATTTAAATTTTTTAATTTAAATTTCAACTTGGATTTTGTGATGTTATAGTTTGAAATTTTAAGCTAATTTCTGAGATTTTTGAATATTTGAAATCTTTCAAAAAGACTAAAAACTGATATTCTAAAAAAACTGAATATTCTAAACTTTGAGATTTCAGAAATTCTCTCAAAATTATTATCATTTGAAATCAAAAGTCTTATTCATGATTTGCTGCTATGATTAATGAATCGATTAATATTAAGTTTATAATAAAGGTGATAAAGTGCAAAAAGTAATTGTGTTGAAAAAAAAAATCTCTTAAACTCGAAAAAGTTTGTCTTTTTTTCTTTCAATATATTTAAAATGTTTTGTTTAAAATGCTTGAAAAAAATGTTTATACTTTGATTTCAAATTTTTTGCAAACAAATTCAAATTTTTTCAAAGTGTCATAATTAGGTCAAGGTCATTCGAATATTGCAAAAAATGGGATAAGCCCCCAATTACGGGAACCTATCCCATTTTTTTACTCAATTTTTTGATGTGTTTTGATTTTAAATCATTTAACGGCATAGTAAGCAGATTGGTATCTTTTGCCGGCAAGAGGGGCAGATGTCACACCCCTCTGACTTCCACATTTTCCAACAATTGGTAGATGTTTCCATGGCAGTGGCAAATGATGTTTCAAATTATGGCTTAAACTGTGATTTTCGTGATAAATCAGTTGAGAGTTGATATTGTCTTTGTCCTGAATGGCACTCACCAGAGCAAAATAATGCAGCTCTCGTGTGTGATCTCGTGTGTGCTCGTCTTTTTATACTCTCCTAGTGACCTCACACCAAATTGACTCTTCTAGTAACATGTGCAAGTCCAAAGCAATCTATAAAAAATTTCAAAAATTTAGACGAAATTAGAAATTTTCAAAGAAAAAATTATTTTTTTACTAACACAAAGTTTCAGGCTTAACTCTATAGCAATCTTTTAAAAATTTCAAAAACATAAAACTTGGACTTTTTAAACGATTAAGTTTAAAAAGTCCAATCCATGGTGAAATGAATCTAGTAAGGTCCAAAAACTTGCCAATATTTCAAAGTGCCAGAATCAGAAATTTTTAAAGAAAAAAATTATTTTTTACTGACTTGAAGTTTCAAGCTTGAGTCCAAAGCAATCTTTGAAAATATTAGAAACATGGAAATTTGACTTTTTAAACTTTATCTTGGAAGTCAAAATCTTGAAAAAATTCACAAGTCTACACTAATTTTGAAAAATTCAGAAGTCCAGAAATTCTGTAAATTCTTCAAAGTACAAGATTCAGAAGTTTGAAATGAGATTTGGAAATTTTATTTTTTACTGAATCAAAGTTTCAAGTTTAATAATCCAAATCCTAAGTTTAACAAATCTTTTTAAAATTTCAGAAATATAGACTTTTCAAACTCAAACTTGAAAAATTCAAAAGTCCAGAACTTTGTCAATACTTCTAAGTTCCAAAGTCAGAAATTTTTATCATCTTTCATGCATCTTTCAGTTGATGGGTGTTACCAGGAGGATACTGTCGTGTCGCAAGACGTCTCCCTAATGCATCCCACTCATGCTCTATGGGATTTAGATCTGGAGAGTAAGCTGGCCGATCCATTCGTGTGATATCTTCACTTTCCAGTAGCTCTTGCACATTAGCAGTACGGTGTGGCCGGGCATTGTCATCCATAAAAATGAAGTCTGGTCCAATGGCCCCTCGGAACAGACACACATGGGGTAGGATTACCTCATTGCAGTAGCGGTCTCCAGTTACAGAACCTCGGTCGAAGATCTGAAGCTCAGTTCGCCCGTTCAACATAATGCCACCCAAACTGCCAACTCCAGGACCACCGTAACGATCTC